CCAAAGACCATCCCAAAGGATCTGTGGGGTGATCTCTTTGGCGAGTTCTCCGGCGCGGTTATAGGCTTGAACAGTCGTAGCAGGGCGGTACGGCTGAGAGAGCTCGGGTGGGAGCCGACGCAGAGGAGCATGGAGGAGAGTTTCCAGATGTTCGAGCTGGCCGAGATATTGAAGGAGGACGTGGTCGAGTTCCACGGATATGCTGGCACCGCGGCGTCGTGATGGACGTGAGAACACGAACGCGTGCTGGGGCCTGTAGGCTGCAGATACAAGGATATCCACTTGACTCGTCGTATTCAGCGGCGTTGACAGTGGGAGAAATATGTCCCTGGACCGCCCAGTGCTTCCAGTCCTTCTCGTAGTCCTTCCACAACACCTATTTTCCGCGTGATGCCCATAGTTTAGACAAGACTGTCCCAGCCTTCGGAAGTGTTTGCCACTTTTCCCCCGTGGAACTCGTCGCCATGGTTTCTTAGGATCCTTCTGGAGCGGCCAGGACGTTCTGTCTCCATCGATCAGTCTTCCAACCACAGCTTCCAAGTACCAGACTTGACCTTGGGCTCGACATGGCCAGTCCACGGTTTTGATTCACCTCATATCCAAGCCACATGCGGCTGGGAAAGACAAGAGACTCTGTTGTCCAATTTTACTTAGCGTGCCCTCGTCGATAGTCCTGACCACAACATACTGCTGGCTTGTGAAGGCGGGATTCCACGCGTCACCGATCAAACCCGAAAGAATTTATTCCATGTGTCTCTCTGTCCAAATTATACATTTTGGTCCCCTCTGACAGTTACCATCTCATAGCTTGGACCGGCATCAGTCCTCAGGCCCCTTCCCGGACTGCCCCGTATATGGTCATCAACAACGGCACCCTCTGCCGATCCATTGGCTGCATTTTGACCAGTCGCCTTCTTGTGCACCGGTGCTCCGAAAGAAATGGGTTGCATTTCACGATACCGACAAGCCCAAACGCCCAAAACAATCATCAACACCGCGCTGGAGGCCTCGAGACCCCACCATAGCAAATTAGTCGGAATGGCACCCGTGTAGAAGGAGGTGATGAGGAGGTGGATGAAGTGAATCGTGAGGGCGAAATCGGGGACAAGTTTCGAGCGGGAGATCAGCAGAAGGATCGGTATTACTCTTTGAGAAAAGGTGTTAGTCTCTCTCCTAAAAACCCCAATTCGACATTCTCAGAAGGGGACGGAGCACCATACGTTATAAACCCATCGACAACCCACAAGAAACCGACGGTCCAGCCGACGGTGGTGTCTCCACGCACGCTATTCCAATCGAATATCAAGTTCAGAGAGAATCTCTGGCCCAGAACCAAGGTCGTGAACAGTATCAATACAAACGCCGTCGTGTAGTATGAGAGTTGCAGGAGGAGGATGGAGCGGACGATCTTCAGAGGCGGCAGTTCCGTGAGGGCGCCTGCGCGGGGAGGTTTGCGCCGTCGAGGCGGCATGGGGCGCGGCCCAACTCCTCGGTCTTGTTTGCAAGAAGAAGAGGAGGTCGTCAAGTGTGAGTCGGGAGAGCCGGTGCTAGCGTCGCCATGAAGCTGGGGGCTGCCCTCGATCTATAGGCATGGTGGATTGCGGATAATGTTTGAAAGGGCCGTCTGTGATTGATACATACGTGGAGTTTACAAGCCCAAAAGATGACGATGCATAAATAAACTCCGAGCCTTGTCACGTGTAGGGCTGAGTCTAACAGCAGCAGCAGCAGCTGGTGGCAGCGTATCTCCAAAAAGTTGATTGGAGAGTATAGTTTGTTTGACGACGTCGATGAAATTTCATAAAAGAGAACCTTCCATGAGACCAGCAAGAAGACAGTATCCGACACCCAGTTAGAAGACAGTCATTCCACACGCCCTTCATCCAGGCCTCCAGGACTACTTTCTACCGCCTTTCCCCAGCTCCGTCGCTTCCACCTGCACATCTCCATCTCCATCTTCATATCCTCCGCAAACCATGGCCTGGGGTCTTCCGACCTGGCTGGGGGGCTCTGCCTCGCCTAATCCCTCTTTACCGCAATCGTCGAACCTGCCTCCACGATCCAAAGACGGCGGCTACGTGGCTCCGGACCGCACGTCTCGCGAACACTGCTACGAGTCGCGCGACATATTCTTCCAGTGCCTGGACCGGCACGACATATTGGATGCGGTCAAGGAGGACGAGAAGGTCCGCAAGGTCTGTCCGGCAGAGGTGGCTGCGTACGAGAAGGACTGCGCAAGAAGTTGGGTGAGTTTTCAATACCCGATTTGAGATGCCCCTCTTCCCTCGCTGTGCATTTCTACATCCTACCTGGCGATCGACCAACGGTTGCTCATGCTCTTTGTGTGCCTCCCACAGATCAAATACTTCAAGGAAAAGAGAGTCGTGGATTATAAACGAGACCGCACGTTAGAGCAGATTGCCAAAGAAGACGCCGAGTCGGCCGCAAAGGCAAAATCCGACAGAAAAGGCAAATCATGGTTCGGATGAGGGGACAGACATGTTGGCGACGTTGATGGCAAAGACCTGCCCGTGATAGCACCAGAGAGTCGATCATATCGGCTTAGGGGAGAAGAAGGCACCACCCTTTCAACTTGTGACGATGAAGGGAAATGTACAGAAAGGGTTACAAATGTACACTAAAAAGAAAAGAATTGCATAGCGCGGACTCGGGAAATCACCTGCTTTTCGGTTTGACGGTGCGAAGGGCTTTCCGAGTAAAATATCTTCACTCACGTTCGGGACCAGGAAAGGCACTTATTGTATAACTATCCCGTTCTTCTACCGCCCCAACAAACCAACCACACTCCCAACCATCACCGCCGCCTCTCGTTCCCAATTGTCTACTTCTTGCTCGCCCTTTGCAGTCGACATTGTTTTCGAGTCACCTGCAAGTACAGTCCTCGGCAGCTTTGAGCCTCGAAGGACACAGTCGCGGATTTCCTGTCGCACGGCATCGCGTTGACTTCGCAGTGTACGTGCGGATACGCCTCCTCTCGTCAGAATCTCTTGGACACGGGTGGATAGTGAGGAAGCCAGTGAGCGCCAGAAATACGATGGGAGAGACGCAGTGTCGAGTGCATTGAGGAGTAAGGAAAGAAAGTTATCGGGGTTGGTCGTTTTAGAGGGCTCTAAGGTTGCCTCATCTTCAGAGTCCTCCTCGTCAACATCGTGGGTGATATTTTGGTCTTCGGTAGCTTCAGTCTGCAGTAATGGATGGTCAGGGGCAGAAATGCCGCGCAGCATGGCTTCCAGGGCCACAATATTTTGACATCGTGCACTTGTCTCCAACAAGGCCCGGTCTAACATGGGTAACTGGCCCAGAGCTCTCCCAATTGATGCCGAACTGGACGTGATGGCTGTCTGTAAGTAACTCTGTAACGCGCGGAGCAGATATTCAGGCTCAAAGTCCTTCTTTTTCATCTTCTCCCCATCGATTCTTGGTGCCGGAGAGAGGAGATAGAGAATGTGCACTGCACTCGTGAACCGGGCACGGCTGTCCTCGACTTCACGATACGAAGGGCCAGAAGATGTCGAGATTCCACTGCCAGAACCCGAGGAGAGGGTAGTCATTGAGAACTCTCTGACAATGCGTCTTGCAAAGTCTAGGATCCGAGCCTCACCATCTTCGAAGACCCTTCCCCGCACAGTTTTCACCAGGTTGATGCGTGCTAACTCGTCGCCGTCCCTTCCAAGGATGGCATCGCGAAACCCAAGAATTGCAAGTGTTGCGCGCATAAGCGAACCGTGATCCTCTTTGCCGGCACGGACACCTCCTCCAAGGCCGGACTCCGCGAGTATCACCTCAAATTGTCGCGCCAGGTTGAGAATGCGCTGTACACCCCTGCCCAAGCGGAGAACCTCCCAGCTCCGTTGAGCAACAAGTTTCGCATCCACTGCTTTCTGATGCCGGACCAGGACTTCCTTCTCCAGGCGTTCGTAGCTGGCGTTTAGACGTGCTCGTTCCTCTTCCATCCTGGTGAGTATTCGTTGGGCGGCGGCATTCTGAGTGGCGGTGTATGTGAGAATGTCGAGTGCCGAGCGGGCGGTGAGGGTGTGGATATGCGAATCAATTTCTTGGAGGTCGAACAGGACGCGGGAGAGGGGTGTATTGAGGTCGATGGTCGGATCGGAGGGGTTGTTGGTTGCGAGAATAAGGGAATTTGCGTGTTTATAAGGCGAGAACTCATCCGAAGTGAGAGAGTCAATGTCGATGTAGGTCGACGTGGCGTTGCCCGTGTCCGCTCTGGTCGTCGTTGCGGCCATATCCATGTTGACCTTTAATCACCACACCGTCGAACGCGTGAAATAGATGTTGGTCAACAATCGAGGTCTTCTTGTCCTCCTAATGAGCCAAGCCCATCGAGAGCCGCATGACTTTGTGCACAAAGGTTCACAGATGAATGCGAGGCCGTCCTGGTCTCAAGCACAATCTCCCTACGACATGGTTGCTGAGATCGGTGGTATATGGATCCTGGCGGTAGTCTCAATCCAGTTGTTCACGACCGAGAGATGGAAGCAGCTGCCTGTGCAGCTTGATTGGTGCCCAAGTTGAGTGATCCCTAACAGATTTGGTGCCTACGTGGAATCCCCAAGGCAGTCGACGTTTGTGGATCATGCAAAAGACACATGTGATCTTAGCGTGCATGACGCTGGCCAAGGGCGGGGACGGCGGCCCCTATATTAACAAAATGTAGGGTGTTTATTAGAGATTCGTTCAACAACGAGCTAGTTTACCTACAACTCTTCACTCTTCACTCTTCAAACGATACTCGGGTTCTTGACCACGTTTCTTCAACGGCCAACTCTCGTGGACCTATCCATTTTTTTTTGTCAACGATATCAAGTGCATTAACCTGGTTTGCTCAGCCCGGCTATTTCAATCCCAGCCGAGGGTCGTCCACGGCCGCTTCGAAATTGCTCTTTTCAAAGAGACCGTTTCCGGTCTGTCGTATCGTATATCTAAAGGCAGTGTCCCCTTCGATGACTTTCACACCGACATCAGCCGCCTAGGAAATAGGGCGGTGTCACAAGACACTGGGCGGCCGCCAGGCTGAATTCCAGCTTGTAGAACAGAATGATGAGCAGGAAATACGCAAAGCTATACCCGACAATCAAGGTAAAGCAGTAAATCAAGCCAAACAACCAGAGCTTGAGGTCAAACGTGTGCGACAGAAACTCCCAGAGGTTGAATGGCGTGATGTCGGCATCGTTCCGGTCCAGGTTAATGCGTGCGAGCACGAAGGACATTTCAGCATCGGAGAGGAAACGGCGGTATCTCTTCTTGGATTCGGGAAACCCGACCAGGAGCACAGATCCGGCAAGGCCGATGCCGGCAGTTGACACCTTCCATGATAAATATCTTATCCATCAGAAAGTCAGTCCCGCTCGACATCTAGGAAGGAATCCGTTGGAAAAAGAAAATCTTACCCAACGCCAACCGGCGCGGCCTGCAGTCCCGTGCATTTGCATCAGGCCATAGGTCAAAATGCCTCCACATGAGGTGAGTGTTGAGGCAATGAAATACCACATGGAACACCTGGGAAAGACACATGTGAGAAAAAGAAGAAGCGCACTCGCAACCCCTGGCTTAATGAGCACCTGTGTGGAGCCATGCATCACGTACCTCTTGTGCATCTCGTAGCGAGTGTACCAAGTACTGCCATTCAATCAGTTCAGACGAGCGATGAGATGTCTGGAATGCTCACCTCAGAAAGTACAAGCACCCAGGAAAGAAGCCGGCCTCGAGTATTCCAAGAAGGCTCTCAAGCCGCAATAACTTGCCATTCGTGAGCAAACCCAGCGCCGATGAGGATCACAGCCCAGGTCATGACCACGCTGGAGAGGAAAAGGCGCGGGCTGATCCAGCGGGTGAGCAGCGTCGCTGGGATCTCGAAGACGATGTAGGTCGGGAAGAAGACCAGTGTGATGATGGAATAGCGCATGCCGGCGATGTTTGCGGCCCCGACTTTCCAAACACACGCAACCAGTCAGCATTCGGTTCGAGGAGAGGGAGCTGATCTCTACAGCAGTAGCATCTTACGCTTTGCCCGGTCAAGGAGACAAATGCAGAATATGGCGCCGATGATAGGCATGACCCGCCAGTCGATCCTCCAGATGATGCTCTTCTGTTCCTGCGACGAGAACCGTTCCACAGTTGCTCGATGCTCTTGAATGTCCGGAGACTCGTCATTCTTCAGGCGGGCATTCTCGTCCCCCTGTCCGGAAAGACCTCGCTCATAGCCTTCCCCCTCCAGCCGAGCCTCGGAGTGCGGGATCTATAACTCTAAATCCGTTGGTTCTTCACTCTGAGACATCCACGGGGTTGAGTTGCGGGGTGTTTTGGAAGGTTCTGAACAGGAGTTCCATCCATCGTATATCTCACCATGTGCATATGCATCTGAATGGCTATCCTCTTCCTTCGGGCAGCTCTCCCAGAGTTAGGGATACAAGACAAGTCGTCCGTTAAACTACCAAAGCTATAGCCTCTGTCGCACATTCTGGAGGCAGACGAAACCAGGCGACTCTGAGCATCCTCGTCGGTACTCAGTCGGCATGTCTCTGAAGATGGACTCGAGGGTCTATTTCACCTCTAGCTGGGGGCGAGGATGTAAGGTCTTCTGGACTCATTTCCAGCAACCATCGGGCGGTATGACTGCGATACACGCGATCGATAAGGCGATTTTCTGGCCTGGGTTCGCTTGCCATCGGAGTCGTCTTTGTTCCCGGGGCATCAAAGTCTCGCTTGACGACAGAGAGACTGTTTGGAAGAGGTCGGCGAGGCTTTCTGGGATTGGAAAAAATGAATCGGGTATCAACTTCGGCGACCGCATCACGGTCAAGCACATACCTTCCTCGTTTGCTTTGCTCGATGAAACAATGAGTCCAGTCACTGATGCAGTTTCGACAGGGGATTCCGCATCGTTCGATAATGATGACAGGCCTTTCCCACCTGTTCCATTCTCCTCATTGTATGCTTCGAGCCCGAGGGTTTTGTGATATCCTATCTGAAATGGGATTTCATCATGCAAAGAATCGTAGAAAACTCAGCATTGGAGAAGAGAATGTACCCCGGAATCCCCCTTGCTCCCTCCAAAAACCAAAAGGCGACTCCAGATATCTGGGGTGTGGAGTATGCATGGTCTGGGTTGGACTGCAAGGCTGACATGACGGCAGATATACATCGATGCAGCAAATCCATCCCGGTCCAATTCCTCGAGGCAAGCTCGAAAGACAATACGGGGCCTCATTTCTGGCTTCCGGGCTCACGTTGTGCAGCCAGGAGACTTTATCTGTGTTCACTCATTCAATCATGTAAGAGCAGCCGGCCGTGGATTTTGACTGGGAAGCATCTGGTAACCATGTCCAGATCTTCTATCTTCTCTTGTTCTTGGCCATTATTGGCTGTGGAGGTGTATTCGCTGGCACCAATCCCTCATATACTTCTTTCGAGCTGATCTATCACTTCAAGACGGCCAGTGTCAGCTTGAAACGGGTGCTTCGAGACATGACCAAGGGGGCTATCGGTGCCGTCAGTCCGAAGATCTAAAATCGACGACTTGGTTAACTAGGAGCGGTTAAGGTGGAGGTAGGGCCAGACGCCCACGCGGTCGAGGACTTTATGCTCAGCCTGTCATACACTCTCATGCTAGATATACATCGTGCGAAGTCCAGCACGCAGGTTGAACAGCGAGCCGGCGTTTGCAGGATTTCCAATCTGGGCCGGGCACGTTGGATATAATAAATCTCGTAGACGACAATATCTTATTGATAACTATTCAAGGTCTTAAGGGGGTGGCGGCACGGCCAGGCTACAAGGCTGAGGTTAGCCATATCGGTGCTAGACACTGTTTCTTATCGTTATCGTCATTTTTGACCTACAAAGTATGTACCTACAAGTACCTTATCGCTGGTGCCGCCGAGCCGTCTACTTACCACACACAGTGATTGTCACCAGTACGGTGTACCTCGTATGAACCTTTGACATCAGCCAAGAGTTCTACCATTTGCCGGTCTAAGCCTAAGCCTATCCGTGTAGAGAATTTGCTCTGCTGAAGGAGACCCCCCGCCACCTTCAGGTCAAGACTGTGGGGTCGAACGAACCATGATTTCTAGCACATGCCTTGTTACTTGACAGCTGAGCACCATTCACCGCATGCTGAAGGGAATGAATTTCAGGTAGGTTTGGTCAATCTGCCCCATGAATCCATGTCCCACATACTTGTGTATGGGGAAAGCCGGAGACAGAGACAGAGTCATCTGATACGTACGTTACAAGGCATCGGAAATCAAAAGCGCGAACGACCGGGGCCTGGATCCTGGATTCGGGGGGTACCTGACGACTGTGCCTGTTCCTGGACCGACCGAACGAGTTTGGCCTTCTAGGGTCAGTTATTCTCGGCGACCACAACAATTTACCCACTCTTCACGTCCCATGGTTGTACCTAACAAATGTAATCGCTGAGGAGGGCCTAAGGCTGAGGACAATATGTCTATTGGATCACGGAATCCGAGAGACCCGTGGCATCCTGCGGCAGGTATGCGGTCAGCGAAGGAGGAAAAGGTGTCAGAAAAACTGCGCTGCGAGTTTAATCTCGGGTGTTCAAAGAGAGGGGCGGACACGGATATGCGGGGCATGCTGTACACAACAAGAAAGGGTCCTGTGGGCGCAACCAGAAGGGTGAGTCAGGTCCAACCGATACACGAAGCGTAAGACGGGGGATGACTTGCTCGGCCTCGCTCTTCGGCTGCGAGGCGGGAGAATGATTCGACCCTCGAAAGGGCTGACAGAGAAGGTGGGAAGAAGGCCATAACTCAGATATATTCACAAATGTCCTACAAGCCCATTGAGGTTCGAAAACAAAACAAAAGACGCAGATTCAGGCCAGGCGAGAGGGGCAGTGGGACATTTCACAGACAAAGTACCTCGTAAAGTATGTTGGTTGTGCATAAGTCATGGCTTGGTCTGGTCAGAGTTGCGAGATAGCGACAGAGTTAATCACAAAACTGTAGAGGGAAGAGGCCTTTTAAGATTTCCTACTCGAAGCTCAGTGGCTACGATGCTGATCTTGCAGGGATGCAGAGAGCTGCACGAGGGGCAATCACGTTGGTTGACGCCGGGGCTAATCATGCGCATCAACGGGCATACGAGGTAAGTCTGTGCGGGTAGAAACTGCGGTAACGAGCGTGCGAAGCCTACTAGACCCAGCGCACGAGTACTTGTTAGGGCCACGAGCGCCTGAGGGAAACCTATGTACAGTAGTGGGCTGTGTTTCCCCCCCAGTGTCCCCCAAGTACGAGTACCTGCTTGGAATAACTAACCACATCAGCCTCGCCCCGCCAATCACTTTTTGCCCCTCCCACTCACTTCCACAGCCTATTGGTACTCGAGACAGGCGCATCAAGCAGTTCCTCGAGGGGAGCTTTTCCCAAGCCTTCTCAGGCTAGCCCAATGCCTAGACAGGCACCGTGGACAGGAACCATTCAAGCACTCCGGATATGTGGCACAGTGTGTGGTTGAGGGACGGTGATGATGACGGCACTTGTCGGCTTGACGGACCTGCACAACTTTCCATCCCACTCTATGAGATTGAGAAAAACCTTGGGTCAATGCGACGCCTCCTGCGGCTGCGCTGCATTCTGCACTGCGCTGCACGGCCCTGCACATGCAACTCATTCCCTTTCTTAGTGATTCATCAACCATGACCAGTGACCACCATCACACATTCCATTGCCCAGCACCCACGAGCCGACAGCCCATGGCCTTCGCACCGCTCGTCCCATCGACCCCCATCGAACATTCATCCAACATCCAACATCATCTTTCTCGTATCAAGCTAGCCACCCTATCCGCACCTGCGTCGTGGCAAACGTGGCTGACTAAATGCTAGCACACATCCCATCCACCTAGGTGCCATCCTCACCGAGTCCTCTCCCCTCGTTGCCTAGCAGGCCCAGGTAGATACTTCTTTTCAACTGGGTGGCCTTTCTGACGCCCGCTAAAGACCCACCCCATAGTGTCCTTGAGGCTCGTCATCTGCCACCCGCCTGGAGCCCACCAACGAGCCCAGCTTTACTTAACTTTACTTAGCACCGACTCCACCATTCACACCAGGGGCATGCCTCGCCGCCAACAATAACCTCTCCTCCCGCTTCAATCACCTTCCGAGTCCTTGCGTCTGCGATCAACCGCATCAAGATCTTGTCGTTCGCCGCCAGTTGTCGACTCTCAGGTCTCTCTCAGATCGCTCGCTAGCTGCTTCATCACTCCCCTATTCTGTTTCTTGCCTCCTCCCCCTCCCCCTCCATCCCCCGGGGCCACAGGTCGATCGTATGGATAATTCGCTTCCGCAACATCCTTGCTGAACCCTTCTTCGCACCCGGAAGTCCCTGGCCTTATCACCGTTCCCCAACCCCTCCGAGAGTGGCCCGTTACATTGCCACCTTCGAACTGCGGCGTTGTCTGTCAAGTCTTTCAGCCCAGCACCTTGATCTAATCATCGTCAAATTCAATTTGACCTCGACTACGCCGCCTCCCTCATCGTCCACCGCGGCCGCTCCGGATGTGCCATCACTGTGAGGCGTAGTGCCGCAGCCTCGAGAGCGCCTGGCCGTCGCACTGGCATTGCTTCACCTTACAACCCCACTATGGCTGCCATCTCCAGCCTCGTCTTAAGCGACAATCTGCCATCCAAGGACAGGAGAGATGACTTGGAATCACCGACCACCCCGCGGCCGGATCGTTATGCATCGACAGTGTTGGATGAGGCCAAAGGAGCAGTCACAGATCATGCCCAACAGTCCCGGCCGAGCGTTTCAACCACCTCCCAGCGCCCAAGTCAAGGTACGCAGATGGAACAAACGGATGCAGAAGGCGATGAGTCTATAATGAGAAGAGATGGCGACGAAGCAATGTCAAGCGCCATGGACTTGGACGACGATGACACCGGCCAGCCTGGCTCGGACAATGAAGCCGAGCCAGGTGAGGCAGACTCTGCCTCGAGGAAGAAGAAAGGTCAGAGATTCTTCTGCACCGGCTACCCGCCTTGCAACCTCAGTTTTACTCGAAGCGAGCACCTGGCTCGTCACATTCGAAAACACACGGGTGAACGCCCATTTCAATGTCACTGCAATCGCAGATTCTCCCGTCTGGACAACTTGCGCCAACACGCTCAAACCGTTCATGTCAATGAGGAGATTCCGACGGATTCCCTTGCCGCCACCGGCACTCGATTTCAGCGACAGATTCGGACCGATCGTGTCAGACCAACAGGTCGCCCACGAACCGGCACCGCTGGTAGCACCGGGAGTCACAGTCGTGGTCACAGTCGCAATCTATCCGCCTCAAGTGTTGGCTCAACCTCCTCCAACTACAGCATAGTCACCGATGGAAAACGACGACCACCGCCTCTTCTTATGGCCAACGAGAACGTGACCAGACCGAACTTGGGACTTGAACCACCACACACTCCTCCTGCTCAGTATCGTGGGTATAACCCAAATTCCCCCGGCGGTATGAGCACGCCCACCTCTGCCAACTTCTCTGCCACCCCTGGTAGTCCAGGCTTCTTGTCCTCAATGACTTCACCAGTTTCTAGCAACGCTCGCTTGGGTGGTTTTTTCGGCTCGAGGCCACATTCCCGCCGCTTGTCTGTGCCCTCAGGGCCTAATCCATATCAGAACCAATATCCTCCCGGTTACCCTGTTGGGTATCTAAACCAGATGGGCCCACCAAGTTCCCACGCATCGTCGAATTCAAGCGTGTTTGCTAGTCCAACCACTGCTACATTCCCTGCTGCTCCTGGCCAACTTGTTCCACCTGGAGAAGACTGGCGCAGGCGAACGTGGCACGCGTCAACTTTTCCGGCCGGAAATTTCAACTACGGACGCCCCGCGACGAGCGGGCTGACATATTCGCAGACACCAGATGCTCCCCAACCTGCGCATGCTCAACACGCCACAGCAGCGGCTGGGCAAGCCCCTCGACTACCAGGAATAGAGAGTTTTGACCATGTCCAGCACCGCTCGTACACTCCTCCACGTCGTCAACCAAGTCCTATGCAGGTCGACACGAATATGTCCTCATCAATTGCGGGCCAGGATCCCCGGATACGCCAGGGTCATGTCTCGTGGGAAGGCCCTCGTCCCAGCCAGTACCCTGACCTTGATGAACACGCAGACCGAAGTCTGGGAGCAGGAGGATGGGGTCAGCAGACACTTAATGAAATCCAGAGCGTGGGAATCCGCTACCATGATGTTCCCAGGCCTGTTGACATGCGACCTCCGCCCCCGTCCGCGATGACGGCTCAACAGCACCAGCAAATGACACGTGAGGCGCTGGAGGGACAGTCTTCAGCGAACAGAACGAAACGACAAGCATGGTATGGTGGACCCACGCCAACTCGAACGTCGCCTGAAGATTCTAGTAGCAGTGACGGCATCCCTACTCCTGGTATGACGGCAGTTGAAGTGCACCCAATGATCATGCCCAGTAGTGGATATATAGAACCACAGCATGGGCCGTTAGCTCCCGATACACATCAGAATGTAAGTTGCCCCTCACGTGCATATGGAGACTTGTTCTCGAGCCGGAACTCATCCGTCTCTAGGTCTGTCTTGCGCCAGCTCCATATATTGAACAAAGCCGCCACCAAAATACGACTTCCTTTGGTGATCGCAACGGAACTGGTGGAGGAATGAATCGACTGGAGGCGCTGGTAGCTGTGGCGACGAGTGGGGATAATGCTGCCCGATGAAAGAGCGATGCATCTGATTGAAGATGGCGATGACTTTGTCAGAGGCACAGAAGTTCCCCCCCAAACGAACGATCTTGATTTTCGACACGATCCTCGAAACGGAGGCATACATTCGAAGCGCAGCTCTTCTGATCATTGAGTCTTGACGGCCTGCATTGAGAGATACCCATGACGACTCTTCTTCCGATACATGTATTCTGCTCCTGTTTATTCATGGTTCTTGGTTGATTCGACGCATTGATTTAGGGCAAGGGGGGATGCTTTTGGGTGCAAGCAAGCGTTCAGCGGTGGTATCTTTGGGCGCATCACGAAATACCCACGACTATTTACGATCATGTGCTTTTTGTATACGACGGATTCCTTGTGGTTGGATTGTGGTTTTCTGAAGATGCATGGTTCATTGCAATCAACCATGGATCGATCGCATCTCAACGATTCCGCTCCTCAAAACAGCCATCTTCTCGTTTCCGGTCTGACGACCATGTATGCTAAGTGACGCCAATGCATAATTAATGGAATTGTTCTGTTGCTCGTGGGAATAGGAATCGAACCATGTGCTTTTTCTCTCCAGATTCGTCCTTCACCCTTTTTCGTAATATTCTTTGGGAAATCCGTTTCCGCCGTACAGGAGAACGGGTAGAATCGGGATCCAACCTGCCAAGAGCCTAACCTTATTGGTTTCTGGCCTAGGGTTGAGAACTTGAAGCCTTCTCAAATTTTATGGTCGTCCTGAAGGGGAACAGATCCTCTGCAGGACAATGATCGGAGTTATTTCAAGAGAAGGAATCCTTGGAGGAACCTGCATGGTGGCAAGAGTAGTGCCCGCTGGCTGCGGTCTTGCGATGCGTCCTGCACAAGGCTGACAGACTCTAGCCAGGCGCGTCAGCAAGATGCCGCGATGCGCCTCACATCTGAACAGGTTGGTCTCATCAGGCTGTTCAAGGTCAAGACCCGGTCTAGGGTTTCATCATCCTGAGCTCTGTGTCACCAAATTTCCGGCATGAGGGTCGGCAGCTGTAGGTACCCGGAGGATTTGGAAGGAAAATTCTTATGCCAACCTCGAGGCTGCCGCACTTGGGCGGAGCGCATAAGTACTGTGGAGGTGGAACTGACAGATATCCGGCCGATAGCAAACATCTTCATGTCGATCTCATAGGTCCACTGCACGGCTATGCCTCCTCTTGATGAACCAATCCACCCGCGAAATAGAGCCGGCAATTGAAATGTTGTCCGGCCGAGGACTGTGGCTGGTAACAGGTCCAGGAAAGACTTGCATGAGTATGCAGCTGCGCGAGACGGTGCATGGTTCTCTGTCCTTCCACCATGTTTCCGCCACGTGCTGTGACCTGCTCCGTTGTGATCTTACTGAAGTGGTTCTGAGGATAAGTCCACGGGAGTTTAGGAAAATATCACTGAAACAGCCTGAGCTGGTTGGTTGGCACGCTGGCTAGATCGACGGAAAGACGCAGGTTGCGCGCACAGCATAGAATCATGGCACAATTCATGACAAGGTTCCAGAAAAGGTGAAAGGAAGTAAGTGTCTGTGGCCAGAGTCTGGCAGAGAGATGAGAAGTCTGGAAGGGACAGGTGACCTTGAGGGGTCAGTCTGAAATGATGAGGGAAATGAGAGGAGAGTGTGGGAGACGAAAGAAACAGACAGAGAGAGTCTCTCACTAAAGTCGTCAACTGCGATCCATGACCAATTCAGTCCTCCTTTCACCATCTACTCACCCTTCATTTGAGTCATCGACATTCTCACCTCTGGTCATCACTCCTTTAAATCCCTTCTCGCCTCTTCCCTTCATCGCTCACGGCCCATCACTTGTTCCTTGTCACCAGTGACTCCAACTGTTCTTCAGTCTCGTCATAACTCCTCTCTTTGCCATCATCTGATCATTCTCTTCTGAAAGTCATCAGACTTCGTCCTCGACAGCAAGAGGAATCACATACCAAAGTCACCGACTACACGTTGTCACGATGAGACTCCCAATCTCTACCCTCCTCTTGGGTGCGGTCTGTGGGTTCTGTGAAGGAGGTGTCTTGCCCATCAGACAAGCGTATGCAGACACTCTTTATCTCCCCAGCGTTTTTGATCATGTACTGACTGAGGTCCGGCAGGCCAAACCCACCATGCTCTCCCGTGACTCTCTGGAATTACGCTACAATCACCCAAACCGTCGTTCAGATCCCTGCAACAGTCACTATCGTTCAGCAAGATCCCAATGCGGTCGCGAGCTCGATGGCTAGCCTTGACTCTGCGCAAGTCAGCATCCAGAGCATTGAGAATCCCGTTTCTGCTCAGCCAAGACCCGCCACTCAAACCTTCACTGACCCTGTCATTGTATCTGGCTACGAAGCTACCGAAGTTCCCAATGCTGGCGGATCCGTTTTCTACATGTCAAAGGGTCCTTCCTCCACTGATTGGACATATCAACCGTCAGCATCCATCGTTGCGGCAATCACTACTGTCACTGTGCGGCCTGTTCCAGCTACTACGTCTCATCATCAGGAGGCCCAGCTCAGTGCTTCCAATAACACCTTTCACGTCCCCTTCTCTAGTCCCTCTACTGGTTGGAATGGCACTTCGGACGGCTCATCCATCGTCGGACCTACGGACACAAGCTCTGGAATACCTGCAACTGGCACTGACTTCTCTTACAGCCCTCCCACCCCCTATGCATCTTCAATGGAAGTCCTACCAACTCAGCCCGTGTACACGGCCACAGTCACCGAAGTTGCCACGGTCTACGCCACAACTCTGGCCCCTGTGAGCGGATATGGAACACCAGCATACAGCTACGATATCTCCACATATAGCAATGATGCGAGCTTGCCCGATAGCGATCAATTGAAAAAGAGACAAACATGCGTGTGGATTTCTGCAACAATAGGTGGGCAAGAGGTTGGGTGGTGTAACAATTGGGCTGGAGGGTCAACATTGACTTTCACTTCGTGGGAGACAACCAGTCAGTTCCTCTTGCCACACAGAGTTGGGTGATTTGCTGACCGAATCGCAGCGACTCCTTCGTACATCCCAGGCATTGGTCCCATTACCAAGTCGGGCACCACCTCGACAAACTCTGCGGAAGGGTCCGTCACAATCCAGACGTCCACCAACTTGGCCAGCTCCTCCTCACCATCGTCTGCAACACCAACCGCCTGTGGCCAGACCGGTCCTTTCCAGATTGGAGTAGGTTGCGATTGGGGATTTTTGGGTTGAAGGCTTGCTGACCACATGCAGTTTGACGACCTTCCCGTCTTTTCCACGAATGACAACACCACTGCAGACTTCCCACCTATTTTCAATCCGTATGAGCACTTCTTCTGGGGTGACGGATGGGCTTATGTGCCGCCACCAATGGAACCCTTTCCCCCACAATCAGGCAACCGACTTGCCCAGTTTGTTCCATATCTGAACAACACTGTTAGTGGCTCTACCGGCGCGGGTTCCATTCCACCGAGTTCATTCGGAGCTGGCCCTCGTAACTATGACAACAACTACTGGTTCAGTGCCAGCTCCGCCTATGTCGCATGCGATAACGGCTCCAGAAATTTGAGCCAGATATGTGACTTCGTTGCAACGGCGTACCAGTGGGACAATGTTACTCAGGCGGAGGTGGTGGTAGCCACTCAACATTTCCGAATACCCCCATGCCCAGACTTCAACAAGTGCCAACTCACACAAATTGTGTTCAACTATCTCTTCTACAAGATGTCGACGCTGAGCTTCTATGCCAATGTTCAAGGTCAGGTCAGTCAGTTCTGGATTGACAGCATCAACATGAATTGGTACAACAACACCTGCGCAGCTGGACTGGCTCGTATGCAGTCGAGGAAGATCTGAGAGTCAGGGACCAAGGCCGACCTCGGCATGGTAGATACTGGCACAAGCTGGAAACAGGGAAAGTCGGCCACCCCGCCTCGCGAATATTCGAATACGAAGGGGTGCTTGGAGTAACTGAGCTGAGAGGTGAACATGTTCAAGCATGGGGAGATGAAACATGGTTGACGGGCAGACAGCCCAGGCATCGTACCGCAGGCAGCATACAGACACATGGTGGGGAGCTCTCCAATTTTTGTAGCAAAAGTGGACAAGTCAGAGCAGAGGCAGTGCAATGGATCGGTGGGAGATAGTGAGAAGCGTGCAACTGCACTCGACGTAATACTGCAAATACTTCCCTTCTATTTATGTCTTTCTTCTGTTTAGGTCGAATCTGCCACGCTGGCCAGCAACCGCCGTGAATCAAGGCGTGAACGGAGCCTACAGAGAGTGCAGATAGGGTATGCAGGCTGTCGTTTGGATAGTCCTCTGTGTGAAACCCATAGCAAGGATATGTTGGCATGTTTGCTGCGCTCTACCGGGCGGTCAAGCCCAGTATTCCCCAGCCTCCTATAACAATGCCCGAAACCGCTCTGAAGATGGAGCTCATAGGCACGCCCTGTTGCCAGCACACGTAGGCATCAACGGCGCCGACATAGAAGAGCAACGCTAAGATGGTGTCTACCGCCGCCAGCTTGCCTTGGAGATAGAATGCCCAGATTGCCATTCCTAGGGCCGACACACGCGCTCCACTGATGACGAAGCTCGCCTGGGCGGGTTCTGACACGGCCACACGCTCAGGAAGTCCGAACTCGAGAATGGCTCCGTGGGGGTTCCAAAAGGGTATCATGCCGCCAAAGGTGAGGCAGGACGCGACGAGCAGAACAGGCGCGTGCAGGGTGCGGAAGGTTACAGCCATGATGGGTACGGAAGGGGCGACGTGATAGAAGTATAAAGCCGTTACAGGGACTCGGTACAGTAGATCGAACGTTGAACGAATGCCACGACATTGCCAAGAGATGCCAAGGGCGGGACTGTCGACGTCATTCTCGGCTGCTTCTCCAACACCCTCCCGATCTTGTATCTCAAGTCCTTATGCCCCATCAGCGTTGTACCTGGTCGATATGGAAGTGACAAGCGTCGTCCGGAGATCTGCTTTCATCACTTCGAAAGGGGCATGTCCAGCACCGATGGCCAACCAGACTCTCTCAACGGCCACTCCGGCTTCATCCTCGCTGTCTTCTGCGTCGTCTCCATCTTGGTTATCTGGCCGATCAAGATTCCGCTACAGGCACCCCTGCAACGGCTTCTTCTCTCCACGCTTGTGAATACCAGGGTTATCAGACTGAGTGAGCACAGAAGCCTGTCTAGTCGCCAACTTCATGTCCATTTGTCTCTCACGACAGCCCCCGTCATCGCCGTCGTTCTGCTCCTTGCGACAACAACTATTCATGGCTCTACGATCAGACTTGGTATTGTGGGAGACGAGACGGTCAAACCATATGACGTTCTTGTTCTCTTCATTTCCCTCGCCTACATCTCTATCGCCCTTGACGGTACTGGTGCCCTCGAGGCCACTGCATTCTATGTCTCCAAACGCGGTGGCAGCTCTGGCCGATTGCTGTTCACTTATCTGTACGCCTTCTTTCTACTCACGGCATGTGTCGTGGGCAATGATCCGCTCATTCTCTCCGGCACACCGTTCTTGGCATATCTGAGCCAGCATACGGGCCTTGATCCGACGGCCTGGGTGTTTGCCGAGTTCATGGCTGCAAACACTGCCTCCGCGGTGCTGGTGAGCAGCAACCCGACCAACATTCTCATCACAGGTAGTTTTGGACTCAACTACTTGACCGGCTTTACCAAGTGGACCGTTCTTCCCTCTCTGATTCCGGCGGCCTTGAACTATCCCATTCTTCTCGGCATGTTCTGGAAGAGGATCCCCAAGACGCTGACACCCTTGACGGACGACCCGTGGAGCAAACTCCGTGACCGCACAGGTGCGTTCTTCCTTAGCGCGTTGATGCTGGTCACCGTGTCGGTGCTCGTTGGTACGAGCTTCGTGCCAGGCCATGCGGTGGAGGTCTGGATGGTGACGGCGCCCGCCGGTGTGTTGGCATTGCTCTTCAACGTTGTAAGCGACTGGCTTCACCCCGAGGTTGGTCGGGAAATTGTGCGACACCAATCGCGAGATTCCGCGGCAGAGATGGAGGAGATGGAGGACAGAAGATCAGGGCCAATCCAAATCCACGTCTCGGCAGGCGATCAACCGGAGGAGCCTCCAGTTCTAGAGAACGGAGGGTACCCGTCACCCAAGCCGTCTGGGTCCTCATCGCCATCGCCACCGATCCTGGCAAAAGACACGGAAGACACCCGAGCCAAAGACAATACCCGGTGTACTGAATCTACTCCTCCTCGACCACTTTCTCTTCCCCCTTCTGCAAGGTCTCGACACAACAAGGAATCTGTGGCCCCTCCGGACCCCAGCACCAAGGACGATCACACATCGCTTACCTCTCTCCTTCGCGCGCTGTCGTCACGCTTCCCCTCCACAGCGCACACCGTCTCGCTGCTCCCGATCCCGCTCCTGCCTTTCGCCATGGCCGAGTTCATCCTCGTCCGCGGCCTCTCCCAGCGCGGCTGGATCCGCGTCTTCGCGATCGGGTTCGCGCGGGCATGCACGTCGCCCGCCGCGACCGTCTTCTTCTTCGGCTTCGTCAGCGCGGCCTTCCTGTGTCCGCTGGCCGGGACGAACATCGGCGCGACCATCATCCTGGTCGAGATCCTCCGCGATGCGCAGTTCGCGCAGTCCGCAAACGTGCAGCGCGACCCGCGCGTCCTGCCCGCCGCCGTCTACAGCGTCGCCATGGGCAGCAACATCGGCGCTTTCAGCTACACGTTCGCCGGCTCCCTGGCCGGCCTGCTGTGGAGGGGCCTCCTCGCCCACAAGGGCGTGCGCGTGAGTCAGTGGAAGTTTGCCCGCGTGAACATGCTGCCGCTGCTGATGCAGATTGTCGTATCCAGCGCCATTGTGCTGGGCGAGGTCTACTGGTTTGCATAGGAACACTGACTGGTCCAAGGTTTTCAAATTCAAGTGTCGCCTGATGCGGTGTTTAGGTAGTGGGTTTTTTTTGATCACGTAGAGTCCCGTTTCAATATAGACAGAGCAAGCGGCAGATGCATCGGTTGATTAATACAACGAAGAATCCGCGTTCGTTGGGGAGATCACTCAAGAAATAATCATCATCATCCAAAACATCATCGCCATTGTCACTGCCAGCAAGAAGAGAAGGAAGGGAGGAGATCCGAAAAGAAAAAGAGGTTTGGACCCGTAGTTATTTTTGTGTTCACATTGTGGGCGAAGGAGGTTGGCTATGAAGAATAGTAACGGGTGCCGTGTTGCCTTTTCACTGGTGATCACCGGTGAATCCCGCCTTATATACACGCCCGTGCGTCATCCATCCGCCGTGGAACGATGGTAGACTCCATCCCAGAAATCCCGGGATCTGGTGGTGGACCTCCGAACAACCCCGGGGTGAAAATATGGGCAGCAGGTTCTCGTTTCCTCGGCATGCCCACCGTGACAATGTGCGATAGACCTCACGCCTCGATTATCGAGGGAGCGGTGGCATTTTACGCCTTCTTGTCTTGAGTCTTGGTGGCTGATGATTTTGCCTCTTCGGCTTCGCGGTCCGCTTTGATCTGTGCGAGACGGTCAGTTGGCTGGTACGCTGGTAGGCTGATGGGCTGGGTGGGTGGCGTGGGTTGGTGCGAGAGTTTCTGCGCCATTTCCCCAGGTTCTCTATCATTCATGCATTCCAGGTCCTGCTCGATTTCAAGATGGGGAAGAAAAGTGGTGATGATTGGATGTGTAACCCCTTCAAGACCTGACCTGGCCTGACTTGACGTCGAACTTGAACTTGGAACTTACGTCGGCTTCGCTCAGGGTGGCATTCTCCTCGGACCAGTGCCGGTTCCCTTTCTTGTCCGGCAGCTTCTCCTGCGTGAGGGCGCTCTCCGGATGCGCCTTGAGGTCCGAGGCTCTTTCCGCGCGGGCCAGGGCCGTGGGTAGCAGCGTCACCCTGGTGGCCGTGTATTGTCTGATTCCCCCCAGAGGGACCACGAGCCGTGGCTTTGCAATCTGGTGGAGGACGGCGGCAGAGGTGGGCTTCATGATGAGCGATGAACAACAAGTTATTGGGGTTTTAGAGGAGGTAAAACCGGGAAGGGAAAGCAAAGGGACAAGAAACACCCCCTTTTTGGGACCGAAACGTAAAGTTGGATAGCTATATGTATATATCTATGTATCTTTTAAAAACACGGCAAACGCGGGAAGAGCGTTCGCCCCTCGGAGGTATTTGAACGTGGCGTGATCTTCACTTTTCGAGTACTTTGCAGCGTGAACTTTCAACCCTTGGGATCTAGAATTACTTGAGGTGTCAAGGGTGGTTGGTTGGCTGGATATGTTGATATCTAGGTAAGAGAAACTCCTCACGCCACTGGCTGGCTGGGGGGAAAAGAAAGTTTGTCTTGGGAAGATGTTATCAATGGGAACGGGAATGGAAATGAATTAGCCGAAGAATACGAGGGATTGGCTCCTCGGGGAGGGTTGAGAGAATCAAGAATCAGATCATGCTGGGCGCCGATAAAGAGTTGGGCGATACTCACGTGACTTAACATTACTACTTGTACTTGGGTATAATGCCTGGCATCATCTCTTGTATAGTAATCCATCAATCATTGACTCTGACAGGGATCTGGCTAGTCAGCCCCCTCTTGGGACGAACCAGGTATACATGAACAGTATTGTATCTCAAAAATAAACGACGCTGACATCCCCACAGCACCCCATCTCCTGGCAAACGAGGCTTGTCAGCTCTGGTGGACACAGAACCCCGCCGAACCACCAAAGGTCGTGGCCATCTCAAGTGGTGTAGTGTGGAGAACAGGGTCCCGGGTGTATGCTTACAGATGAGGCTACAGCACTGCGGGCTACTGATCCTAAACACTCCTTGAATCTGAGAATATCATGCTTATGATATGCCTGACTTTCATTTCAGACGGAATTGGTCCTGGCGAGTCTGAGTCTGATTTTGCCGATCTATGGAGTGAATAGATATCATGTCGATATATAAACAATGCCTCGTACCTATCCTGCCTCGTAGTGGTAGTGTCTCTGCCAGCCTCAGGGACGAAATCAGTATTTGGTCCCACACAGGACTTGTCGAGATGATGCACGTCCTAGACTTCATCATGAGCCAGTTCTGGGCCTCCACTGCCCTTGCCCTGTCCTTTTGGACTGTCGCTTTCTTCCTCAGACGATATCTCCGACTTCGCCACGTTCCAGGCCCTTTCCTCGCAGCCTTGACGGACTTCTGGTTCGTCTATAGATTCTGGACAGGAACGAACTTTGCTCAACTCACCACAGAGCTCCACGACAAGTATGGGCCGGTTGTCAGGTTAGGTCCGAACCGCGTAATCTTCAGCAAACCGTCAGCCGTTCCTGTGATATACAGGACAACTGATGTCATGCCAAAGGTATGGTTGATCCCATCCAAGACCATGTCAGTCAGACATCCTTCCAAGGGGCTCACTAGACATTTTGACTAGTCTTCATTCTATCTGCCACTTCGAGTCATGATCCGGGGTCGTGAAATCACTTCTTTTGTCAGCATTCTGGACGAAAAACGAATGAGTGCCGTCAAGCGTCTCCTGTTGGGCAATTTCACCATGAGCTCCTTTCTGCGACAGGAGGCGGAGCTCGACCATACAATCTCCTCGTTGGTGAGTTATCTCGACAAAACCAAGACCGATATCGCCATCGGCACCACAATGGGGTACTGGGCTTTTGACAGCATCTCGCGCATTGCCTTGACAGAAGACCAAGCCTTTTTGAGTCACCAGCAGGACTTTGGAAACACCATCGGAGGCGCGGCCGACCGCATCACTCATTGGCATTTCTGGGCAGCCATACCGACATTGGAGCGGTGGCTGTTCAAGAATCCCATCATGCAAAGATTGGAAACGTCGTCGATGCTGGGTGCGCTGGCGGCCCAGAGGTTGCAGAAGCGACTGCGCGAAGAGAAACAGCTGAAAAATCAAGTCGACCTCCTAGGAAAATACCTGGCAGCCAGCAGAAGAGCACCGGAGTTGGTCAAAACGAATGATGTGGTAGGTTTCCTGGTGTCGACCATGCATGCCGGCAGCGAGACTACTGGACAGACGACGGCAGCCATCCTCGTCACTCTGTTGCAGCACCCCGAGAAAATGGCCAAGTTGGAGGCAGAAATCCTCTCGGCGGCGCTGAGTGACGTGCCACAGTTTTCTGAGGTGCAGAGTCTCCCTTACCTAGATAGCGTGATTCGTGAGTCTCTCAGGGCAAACCGAGCCAGGACGACCATGCTGGAACGAACCGTTCCGAACCCCGGCGCGACCATCGACGGCGCCTGGATCCCTGGTGGCACTAATGTGTCAGTCAGCACGGCCGTCCTGAACAGAGATACTGAGATATACGGGCCCGATCCTGAGCAATTTCTACCAGAACGGTGGATCGGGATCAGCGACGAGGAACTCAGGCGAAGGGACCACGCAGATCTCAGCTTCAGCGCGGGGCGGCGGATCTGCATAGGGCGCAATCTGGCAATGATTGAAATGAAGAAGGTCATCGCGCGGCTCATCAAGACTTTCGAGGTGAGTCACAATTCTTCCAGAACATGTGTCTGCGCAGAGCGCGTGCTGAACAAGATGCGAGTTTACACCCACCAATCCTCATGAAGACCTGCAACCGAGGGCGCGAGGGTCCGTACGACCATTCTACAACCCAAGACTCAACTTTGTTAGGCGAGAGGGCGAGAACAAGAAGAACAGATTGTAGTTTTGATAAGGACGGAGCTTGCAATAAAAGAAGTAAATACAAAGCGGGGCAACTTTTGATACCGGTACATTTAAAGCGGCATGAACTTTATTCCGTTGCCGTGGCATTGCATCCCAATGCGGACAATCGTAAACACGATCGTCAACGACTTGCTTCTCACTTCTTAACGACGGCGACAACATTCCATTGACCAGAGCAGAGCTGCGTAGCAATCATGTCCGCCTACTCGTCCGAAGACGACCTCCCTGATCTCAGCGCCATCTTTGCGCCGAAGCCGTTGATGGCCACCAGCACAAATACCGGATTGCGACGGTCCCCACGCAAGAAGCCCGTCCTCGAGGAATCCACGTCGCCGCAGAAGAAACCACAAGGAGTACCGAGTCCTGTCAAGAGACGTGAGCTCAACAACTCCCAGCTCCCGGGCGATCGTCGTTGTCGCAAAGAAGCCACGAAGCTGGAAAAGCCAACGCGGTCCATCCTCAAACATGTCCCGCTTCTCCCTCGAAATTTAAACGTTGCCGAGACCCACGTCACTTCTAGCAACCGCCGCTCACCTGAGAGTCCTCAGAGAAGTCTGAGATTGGCCCATGTAGACTCATTACTCATTCCACTGAAGGCCTTGGCTGTGGAAGACGATGGGTGGTCAGTGACGTTGGCAGAGTCGTCAAAGACTGAGAACCTACTCAATCCTCGAGAGCGGGAGGATACATCGCGGCCAACAAGGTGTGACAATCGCAAAAGGAAGCAGGTGTTCAATCGTGTAAGCAGATTCGTCATGAAGGAGGCTCGATGCAACGACGATAGTGGGGATTCAGGCACAGACGAAGAGGATGACGAGGACACAGATTTGATCGGCTTCATTGTTGACGATGACGCCGAACTGAGCTACTACGAAACTTCATCATCAGATCCGGACGAGGGTGATTATCGCAGACCAACAATAAAAGCCTCACAAACGCGTCCGCGAAGACGGCTGCACCGGGGATCGCCAACTCGGCGACGCCTCAGCTTTGGTGACCATGGAGGGTCGGACAAGGAGAATCAGCAGGAAGAGACGTTATCAAAAGCACTGGGAGATATTTCTCTAGGGGATAAGGAATCCCATGTTCGGAGAGGAGATATTGAAACGATCGACCTCACCTCGTCCCCGACACTTTCTCCAGACACCACGTTTAATACTCAACCCAGCTCACTCTCACTTCAATCGCAACATGAGATTCCATCAAGGAATCCTTTTCAAGACCTAAATCGTCTCAAAAACTTCGACAATCTTCCTGAGCTTCCTCCACCTGCTGCTGAGCCTGTCTTGATGATTCCCTCGAAGGACCAGCCTGTCGATACCGATTTTGACAATGACTTTAAAGACGTCGTTGAGAAACCCATCGACACAATGGAAGATCACTTCAAAACACCACCTGCTACACCACCTCGATCACCCTCAAAACTCAAATCACCCTCAAAATTGCTATCCCCTTCCAAGCGACAGTTCATCCCACAATCACCACATCGCCAGAGTATGGACGCTTTCTGGGATCATAATGTGATCAACGAGTGGAATGACGAGTACTCTCCAAAGAAGGCACCGGCGACGTCTCCAAGAAAAGGGCTGCTTGGTCGGTTCCAAGTGTGGTCAGACTCAGAGGACGACGAGCAAGACATAAATTTCGATCGTTCTGATTCACTTCCCAGTCCTTGCTTGTCACCGGCCAAGTCGAAATCACCGTCCAAGAGTCCCGAGAAGGAAGAGAAGAAACGATTAGCAGAAGAGAAGCGGGCAGCTGCAGCAAGGAAGAAGGCTTTTGACTCTAAGAAACAACAGTTTGCGCTTGACTTGTTACACGAGCTCGACGATAAGGTCGCCAACTCCCAACTCGACCGACTATCGTCCAGCACAGGCGGGGTGCGCATCATCTGGTCAAAGACTCTGCGCTCAACGGCTGGCCGAGCGAAGTGGAAGAGAACGATCACCAAGCCATCCAGCTCACCCATCAAGGGCGGCGATGTCAATGAGACTAGGGAATCGGGAGTGAAGGTGCAACACTATGCGTCAATCGAACTGGCTGAGAAGATCATCGACTGCGAAGACCGTCTGGTCAACACACTGGCGCACGAGTTCTGCCACTTGACGAACTTCATGATCAGTAACATGCGCGATCAACCCCATGGCGCAAGCTTCAAGCAGTGGGCTGCCAAAGTCACGTCGCATCTGCGATCGACCGATGTCGAGTCCTGGAAGAACGTGCACGTAACTACTAAACACAGCTATGTAATCAACCACAAATATCTCTGGGTTTGCGTCGGCCGCCAGGACAAATCTGCCGCTAGGGATTTTCTCAACTTGGGGGAGGACGAAGGATGCGGAGTGGAGTACGGACGACATAGTAAGAGTATTGATGTCGAGAAACATCGATGTGGGAAGTGTAAAGGGAGATTGGTCCAGGTCAGGCCGAAGCCCAGAGCGAGTCCTGTCAAGAAAGAGAAACCAGAAGCCAAAGAGCCGCCGAGTCTGAAAAGAGAAGAGAGTGCCGAGAGTACGATTTCGGGCAGCAGCACCACCAGCAGTGGCGGTGGACTGGGCCGGATGATTGAGATTATTGAGCTGAGTGACTGATTGATTGATTGGATGGATTGGACGGCTTGTCACCATTAGTTGGATCAGAGTGTTGGTGAAGAAGCAAGCATGTTGTCCCCTCGACGGTGTCATCATCAACAACAACACGTCGACGACGTTCATGTCCAGGAAAGAGGCGTTTTACAGTCAAGACATTGATTTGAGCCGGTGTTCAAGGTAGCTGAGCCTGTACATACCAGGCAGATGAGTGTGTTGGGTTCCAGCTTGTCTGGCGTCCGCACCAGAGCTGGTTGTCACAAGGACAAGTGTGAGAAATGAATGAATGAATGTGACCTTTCACGAACCCATACAGAATTGAATACGGCTCTCTATCCTGCCCAGCGAGTGCGATTGCGCATGTTGAGCGAATGAACTATTCGTCAAGTCCATGCGAATGGATGTGGATATGAGTCATTGTTTGTATTGATCGCTATCTAGGTATCTAATGTAATGTGACTGACTGATCAACCGACTGACCGACGGACGAGGCATGAATGGTGAGTACAGACAGTACATACCATTCAACAGTGAACGGTGAACGGTGAACAGTGAAGAGTAGACCAACCCGGCATTCAACACTCGACCCAGCGACCCAGGTTCATTCCATGCACATAATACCTAGGTAGGTAGATAAAGGTATGCAAGTGCCATGGCCCGCGTTGAAAGGAATAGCTGGAAAAGACATGACCTCCGTCCGCTCTCCCCGATCCACGGTTCGCAGGTCCAGGGCATAGTGATGGTCTCTTTTTCTCCCTCTCTCGCTGTTCTTTTTCTCTTTTACCTCCCCTCGTTTCCTATGACTCTTCTGCAGCCGCGTTCCATTCCGCTCCTTGAGGATCGATCTATGGGTCGAGTTGAAGAAATCCATTCATGCATTGATGTAAGTCCGACCATCCCTGGGCCCTTTTACCTTTTCTTTTCCTTTCATTCTCGATGAGTATCCGAATCTGAAGCCGGAGAGCGACTTCACCATATCCCTCCATTCTCCACCACCGCCACCCATGTAATTCATGAATGACCATCCCATTGCGATGAACGCACGAACGAATTCTAGCATGGTAACAACTCTCAGGCATTAAAGAGGCTGAAATCCCTAACGGCCAAGGAGCGGACGATGTGGGCAAAGACGTCGCGTGCGTGGGTGACCTCCTCGAGAATCATAGCCTGGGTGGCGGGGCTGTCGGACGACGAGCCCAGGCGCTGGCCGGCCTCGACGAATTCCTTGACGGGCACGTTGATGCGGACGCACAAGTCAGTGCTGTAGGATGGGAGACGGATTAGGAGGAGGAACTGGTGGACCAGCGAGGTTCGATGTTGAGAGGAGGAAGAAGATGATGAGGTAGCGGAAGGGGAAGAGGAAGAAGTCGATCCGGCGGTGGGGAGGGATGGTGTCGTCGTCGTTGGTTGTCGCGCTATCTCGTGACTGTTGATGTTCCCTGCCAGCATGTATGCGGGATGCCCGGCCAGGCTGGGGTCGGCCATCTGGACGGGTTGCGGGTTCGGCAGGGGCGACGCAAGCGTGTCCGGCGGCGAAATCACGTCGGTGAAATGGACCTTTGCTGCCTCGGCGTCCAGCTCTTCTCGTGACTGCTGCGGGGCGGCTGCGGTGCCATTGACGATGGTTTGGGTGACGGCTGTAGTGGTTGTGGTGGTCGTCGTTCCGTCAGGCGCCGTGGTTGTCGAGGTCGTGGTTGTCGGCCCTGGTGACGGACTGGGTTGGGTCACGCTGGCCGGGACGTAGTCGTCGATCTCGAAGATGACCGACGTCAGCGTTGTCGGCGAAAGGAAGACTTCTTGATGGTCGGGGATCTGCCGGATGTCGCTGTTGCACTGTCAGCGCTCGAGAAACACTCTGTAGAAGATGCCTCCTCCAAACGAATAAGATGGATAGATAGAGATGTGCTTTGCTCGTTCGGAGGGGACAACGTATGCATGATGCGTGCGCCAAAATGTCGGGAGATGGGATCAGGCTATAGAATACCATGGCAGGCTGGAATCGAGGAGGGCAAGTATGTGTCGTTATTCAGCGATTCCCGCCGTCTCGTCTCAGCCCCATCTTCTGTCATACATCCATCCTTTACGCTCTTGATACTCTCCGCCTCGGTCCCGACCGACTCTTGCCTGACACTTATCGAAAGAGACTCACTTACCTTGAATCGATCAGATCCACCGGTAACTCCACGGTCATTGCCCCTCCATAAAGCTCACGGACGCCGTATGTGCTAGTCATAGTCGACCTATGGCGTAGGACGGACGAAATGTAGGATTTGTTTCTTTCGATTGAAAGGGGGAAATCCTTGGAATCACTGGCGAGGAGAGGGTGTGTATACGTGTGTGTGTGAGAGTGTTGGTGGGTGACCAGAGAGATGGAGCCAGCGCAGGGAGTTTTTTAAGAGGGGTTTTGATGCTTCACCAACAGGCAGCACAGCGAGGGTTGCCGCCTGGATTGTCGGATGAGCTCGCCTCAGGCATCCTCGTTCAAGACCATAATTGCAGACATTATGCTCCAAGCCTTAGTGTTATAAGACGATAAAGATCAAAGTTCTCTCATTCACATACTATGAGAGCCGACTGGCGGATCCTGGTACGAATGGTGAATGGGTGGCCATGATAAACCGACAATTACCCGCTCAGTGCCTATACACAAGCACGTGACAAGCAAGGCTGCGCATACAGAGACGCATGAGAACGATGAGCAGCAGATACTGGCACCTACTCTTCAACTCTGTGAAATGGCTCTTGAAGATAAGTTTTGATCTGTTTTTGATTCATTCTGTTCGGGACACCCCCTAGGCCAATTGAATGCAGTGCCCCACTGAACTCCTCCGATGCCGTCAACTACTTGCCATCGACAGAAGAAGTATTGTAGCTGTGGCAAAGCTGTGACTATCAAAGACCCCCGCAAACCCATATGAACAAGCTCGAATCGCTGCTAACCAATGTAACTAACTACACGCACCTTCAACTCGCTCTCATTGAACCCCCTACAACAAAATCATACCCGCCCCTGAAACAAATGCGATCGTGAGGTAAACCGCGAGCTGCATCACACCCATATGGCTAGGAGTCGAAATTCCATGGATACCGGCATTTGCCGAGCCGCTACCGCTGCTGCTGCCGCCAGATCCTGAGCTGGATCCAGACCCAGAACCGGAGCTCGATCCCGACCCTCCCGTGCCGCTGGGTGCTGAGGTGACAGTACCAGTGCCTCCATTACCGGCCTGGCTGATCAACGTCGCGCAATTTCCACTTGGGCTGGTAGGGGATGCTGTTGAGGCAGAGCCGCTGAAATCGCAGGCCGAGGCACCGTTTCCTTGCGCAGCTTGTTGTTCGTAGTAGGTGTTGAGTGCCCACCCGAGTTGTTGTTCAGCATTGCACATGCCGTAAGCACCGTAGTCGCCGGTGGTGGCGTTGGCGGCAATACCGTCGCAGACACCATCGGCGAGACCACAAACAACGCCGAACAAGTCACCAATCTCGTCAGTGGGCACGTTATTGGGACGGCAGGTCAACGCATTGAACATGCATTCGCAGAGTTCTTGGTTGGGCGTGGGAGGTAGGCTGGACGACGCTTGCCAATCGTCACCGACACTCGGGCAGGAGGCGGGAGCAGTATTGGTCGGGGTGTAGTCGTTTGCGTTGACGCCAGTTGGGTCAATTTGCGCAATTTGGGTGGACAAGGCGTTGAAGTCGGCCAGAGTGCTCACCGAATCGCCGGAAACAGTGACCAGACCTTAACTCGCTGTTAGCATGAGTCTAGTGCAGAAGAAAACATGAATCTCTCACCATAGTCGTTTGCCTCTTGGAAATACATGTAGACAATGCCGCCCGACCACACAGGAGTCATTTGAGGGCCGAACAGGGCCTGCACTTCAGTGAACTGACGGGGTTGAACGGTGTTGCATCCGTACTCTGCAAAGAACACAGGGACGTTGTAGGTTGAGAATTCCTTGGTACGTTCATCGTAGCCAGACAGCGTGTAGCTAGACTTTCCGCACCACGAGTAGATGTTGTAGCCCCAGAAATCGATAGAATCCGCCGAGTCTCCGCAGTCGAAGTAATTGGCAAGATTGACACGAATATCGGCATCGTCGTTGGTAGCATAGCCCACTCCTATGGGACGGTAGTTTTGTCTCTTGATATAAGCCTTCATGTCGCGGACGGCAGCCTTGACGAATGCGCTCGCATCGGTGTTGGTGTTGTTGTTGGACACCTCGTTGCCTGCGAAGTAACCCAGGGTATTCGTATATTTGGACATGTTGTCAATGACCGCAGTATAGCGAGCATACAAGTCATCGTCCCAGGTGGGGGTGTCACGGTTGATTGAGGTGCCAGGAGACGAGAGGTCAGCAATGACATAGATGCCAGCGTCTGCCAGCGCATTCATGCAATCATCGTGGTTCTTGGTGGGATCGACCGCGTAGACACGGATGGTGTTGGTTCCGAGTTGGGTGAGGTAGGGAATGTCTCGTTGGCAAGTCGAAGCATCGGCCAGAGGATCGATATAATTGTCGTCACCGCTGGATGTTGTGCCATTGCCTAGATAATCCTCTTTTTTCACTTGTCAATGTCGAATTGAGTACAGGGCTGAGGAGAGGAACGCACGTTGGTAGGCCACGCCTTTGATAAAGCTGTTTGGCGCATTAGCCCACGATCCAGGGAGTGATATCAGGAGCTGCACTTACAATTGTGTTCCATTGGTCTCATAGAAGAATTTCGAGCCCTAGGTGCAAACAAACGATCAGTCCTGTTCATCTTCCCTGGCTTGGGACAGAGGAGTTGGGTGACAACGTACTTTAATGACAATAGGGTCTACATCTGCAAATGCGGCTCTGAAGAAAAGAGTAGCGCCAGCGACAGCGGTCGCAGCGGCGGAGAAGGCCTTCATGGCGATGACAATGTGTGAGAAAAGTAGTTGAACAGAGGGAAGTAGTCTTTCAAGAGCGTGTGGGTGCGGCTAAAAGGTGTGCAGATGTTCTCGAGATACCTCACAACAGGAA